GGAGAATACTTTGGAGCCATTACAGTCAAACAAAAAAATAGAAGGTAAAGAAAGAGAAGAAATCAGAAAACTTGGAGAACAAAATGCAAAAGCTTAGAAGAGCGACCCCCGACTCTATTTATAGGGCAGGCACGTAGATTAGAGAGACACATAAAGATACACACCAATTTTCATTTCAAATTCCTTCAAAAATTTTTTTATTACAAATAACATTATTACAAATTTCGTACGAAGTGTTTAATAAATGTGTCCATGACTTCAAATCGGGCATACCCCTTCTCAAGCAACCGTCGGAGGACCAAATCTCCACCGAACCTAATTTGGTCCATCCGACCGACCTCGTCATGGAATCGACTCAGAACTGCTGAATCACGAATTGTCGAGATGTCATTTAGGGAACCTTGGAGCGACGCGACCTCCCCCTCCAGTCGGGCGACGACAACCGACTGTTGTTGAAAAGCAGCCTCCAAATGCTCGTAAGAAGCCATCCACCCTAGCGTGGATGGGTTGGTGGGGTTTTCTGTTGTTTGGTGTAGAACCTTTGCCATCTCCTGCACCCACCCAGCATGCCGCTAACCCAGGGGGAGTCTCCGGCTCACAGGTTGTTCTTGCTGGGAGCTTTCGCTCATGTCAATCGACGGAAAAAGTGGGACGGTCTCATCAGGGGCCCAGCGGCAACTACAGGAACCGAGTTTACCACGTCTCTTGACGGCTCACACCACCTTCGACATCCTCCATTCCGATCAAATCATTTGCATTTAAAAAGAATGCCAAATTAATACGCCAACCAAAGTCAGAAGGAATTTCTTACATACCCATGAGCATCTCAAGCTCCGACCCAGTCGGGGGAAGACCTTCCTCTCCCGTTAGGGTGCTTCCTCTCCTCTCCTCTGAGGACACCAACGAAGGGTGAGCGGCCCGTCTGCTCTCGGGTTACGGCGATCGTCAGCAGCCCCTTCTCTGGACAAGGTCAACAGATCCACCACAATCCTATCCTCGCGCGTGCCAAAATCCACGGGTTTATGGGGAGGCCTCTTCGGTGACCGCCTTTCAGGCCTCTCAGAAAAAGAAACCTGATCGGCTGGCTCAGGATCGACCGTCTCTCCCATTTTCTCCCTTTTAACCACCTTTTTTTTTTTTAAGGCCAGATGCTGAAATAGGAGGGGGATCTTGCCAAGGCCAGTAGGCTCGGGTCGATCGTCTTTTTGCTTGTACCGCTCGACATGAAGCTTACTCAACAGTCCAGAGAACTTCACCAACAAATAAATTGCCCAATTTATGGTCTTATTTATAAGACCGGCAGGGCATGAAAAGAAGGGAGAGCTAATTATTAAACCCTTCTTTTTTGGTTTCCGTGACAAGATTAACTAATAATTTTCCTGTCCCTATCACAGCTGGTGTCATCATCGAACAAGAAAACTCGAGGAACTAATATGTATATATTGGAACTACCGGCAGGAATCTTAAAGATAACGAAAAACCAAGAATACGAAGCTTTCCTTCGGAGTAAGCAATCAAACGACAATTCAACGCCAAACATAAGCAGCCACACCTATAAACCCATGATAGCTCAAAGATCTGAAGATGGTTCCTTATTCGATGCTATTATTAAACTTGCTGATGCTCAGGGAAGCCTGGAGCAGAAGTTTTGACCAAATATCCCAAACTATGACTTTTTAATGGCATCATGTGTTTATTGCGTGGCAATGAGGAAAATCATCTCTTAGACTCCTCATACTATATTGAGGAGTCTATGTCTCTCATTCCCTTCACTATATTTAGGAGAATCCCCATCTAGATCTCTCCTCACACTATATTGAGAGGAATCCTCACATCTTATTTTCCTCTCACACTATATTTAGGAACTTTTTTTTTATCTTGTCTCTACTCTATGTTGAATATATAGTTTTGAGCATCTTGATCGTATGTGATCAAGCTATAAGTCCTAATCTCATACATCCTATCTTACCCTTTAGCCTTAGAACCCTAGTTACCATGTGTCATCCTTGGCATACACCATCACATACAGCGCTTTAAATCTATTTTGTGCTTGTCTATCAAATGAGAGTGGAGTTTCATTTGTCAGCTTAGTGCTAGTTCCACACCCTTGGTCTACGAGGTCCTCTTGGATGTGGTAATCCATAATTGTAAATAAGGATTCTCTAGTCACTCTTTTGGCTAGGTAGACCAAGAGCATTGACGACGCAAAATGATGGAACTATGGAATTTTAACCGGGGCCTTCATACCCTCTGGCAGGCTAGTTCTCCTATATTCATTTTCGTGTCTTTGAGTGCATCCTCATTTGATTCTCGTTGCTTACTAGACCTCCATCCTCTATCGAACCCCATATGAGCCATTTTGACTTTCAATGAATTCATCTAAATCTTGATCAACCAATGAACAGAAGCATTGATTCCTTAATTGAGAGTATTCTCGGATATACTCGAGATATGATTAACTTTAGGAGCTTGCATCTTGAGAGATCTTGACTCGTAGAATTAGAATAAATTGTGTTTCAAATTATATTCCTTATAAGGGAAATCTCTGGGACATAAAATTCAATCTGCCTTCCATTGATCCCAACGTACCTATAGACTCAATTAATTTCCGTACAGTCAGTCCTCTACTACAGCACCTGCAAGGCGTCTTTCAAAACTCACAGTCAGATCACAAAGAACGGTAACTTTAGATTATCTCTGGAGTTTTGAGGCATATGGGAGAAATGTCTTGAATACTCACTTGTATAATATATACATGGAGGAATTTGTAGGTCTATATATTTATATTCCTAAAATCTCATGGGAAATTTTCTAAGGGACTTTAAATACAGGAAAATCGTAAAAATTACTAAAACTTCCCTCACTCTCATTCACAATTGTATGAAAGAATAGAGGATGCTAGGAGAAACATAAAATGTAATTTTTTGTAGTTTAGAATAGTGACAGCAGGGAGGGCATTGTAAGCAGAGTTTACAGTGAATTTTTAATATCTTGGAATAACCAAGTAGGTAAATAAAAGAAGAGGTGAATGAATGCTTCAGGGGGGAAGGCGAGGATTAAGAGAGTGAAGTAAACAGCTTTATAACTAGGCGAGAGGTGTATGCAGCTGATAACTCTTTTCTTGTTTTTATCAATTTCATCATCAATCATCTAAATTTCACCTAAGGTTTACTATTTGATAATGGATATAAACTGATAGACTTCTTAATCCTACTAAAATTGTGAAAATGACAAACATATCCACAACCAGAAATAACTATCTTAGGCTTGACATATGACAAAATGATAAATTAGGAAAAATACACAAAAAACTGATAATTAAAACTAGACATTGTCATACCACACCAATTTTATTGGGCTGCAAAAAACTATACCCTGAAGATTTGAAATATTAGAGGAGCAATTATAGGTCCTTTTCTGTATTACATAGCCAGAAAAAAATCATTCTGTAGAAGATCAATGAATAGGAAATTTGTCCTCAATAAATGGTGGTAATTGGGAAATTCACATCATGGGGAAAAAAAAAAAAAAAAAAAAACACAATCGTCAAAAATACTAATAACAGTCTTTGCACATGCTACTGGATTGGTTTGATTTGATCGAATCATTGGCTGACTAAAGATTTTTTTTCCTACTTTATGTTTAAATTAGAATATTTCGAGTTAGGTGTGTTGTTTGATTGATTGAATTGGGCTAACACTAATTCCATTGGATTGGGTTTAATTGGTTTGAACTATGATTTTGTAAATATTAAATGCTTTATGTAGAGTTGATTGGATAATTGGTTTAATCTTTGCGTTAATTTTATCTTTTTTCTGAAATTGTTCGTTGAACAGTAAAATAGGCTGAAAGTAGGCATTGAAAATTTGATATGCTTTTGGTCTGTTTGGTAACTGAATTTTGACCGGAAGTTTCATTTAGGATATTTAATTATTGATTATGAATTTAAATGAGAGGGCTCTAGGAAGGATTTTGTGGAGGAATCAGAATCTCTACTGCGGAAAAGTTTTAGGAGGAAAATTTGGGGG